GCGTCCTCCTGACCAAACTGCAGCGGCGTGAGATCGGGCCACGGTGATTCAGGAGTCACCTTGGTGGATGGCAGTGGGTGGTAATGGGTGCCCCACTGTCTCTTTCTTCGTCCCACGCTGTCCCCCAGGAGACCTCAGTTAATATAATCCTTTCCGGCAATTCAAGAACAGCTTCCTAATTTACTTGTTGATCGTCGCTTGGTCTCTTATACCAACAATGCAAAGGTCCTGGCTCCATTGTTCCAAACACCTGTTTGTCCTGATATCACGGCAGAAGGAAACCATCCTTGCCGTCCAATCCTGTCTTGCAGCTAACTCCATGATGAACCTTGCCAGGAATGCTTTTCTCCCAGTCAGCAGTCCCCAAGTTAATAATAACATCCAATTCTTCCATCCTGGAATTTCTGACCACTCATCTATTAACTTCCTTGCAAACTTTGGGAATTAGCTTCCACTACACCGTCACTGGGAGAAGGACATATTGCAAATCGTCAAACGTATCTTTCTACATCGGTCTCAATTCGCCACCATCTCACACACGAGGCACATACGTATGTCTATAAGATCGCGCTTCTCATCGCATTCCGTACTGCCCCCCCCCCCCCGTGTGGGGCGGGGCCATCCCCCCGTCGAGCGCAAAAAACGGTAAACGCCGGGGCCATTGTCGCCTCTTATGCGCGGGACGTGGCCGTAATGCGGCTGTGACGTAAAGTGGCCGAAATTGCATCTCACCGTGGTGGGGAGGTCTGGCTGACGCGGCGTACGTGACCTGGTCCATTACCGCGGCCACACCGGCGTTTGTAAGGTCCCCGCGCTCACAGCACCGGTCACCGTTCCCTGTGTCCGCTTGTGTGAGCGCGTCACGTGACCGGCGGCGTGTAGAGCCCTGGAGCTTCCCGCAGTGCCTCGGTTTATGGAATGGCTTCCTCCTGGGCCTGCCCGCCCGCGGTCGTCATGCTCTCCCGGAGCGGGGCGAGCCTTTTGTCAACACTTTGCGAACTTGCAGAATATTTCAGCGTTCACGATTGCACTTTGAAGTGTTAATGTTCAGCAATTCTCAACCACGATCAGCGTTCTCAACCACGATCGACGAATCGAACAACGAGCCTGGTGTGTGTAATTAATCTTAGAGGTAGGTTATGAGCTATAAATGCAGATTGTCCCGCCTTTTGTGGCTGTGCATCATAATCACGGAACCGCGAACAGCATTATGCCGAAATGGATCTATGTTCTAGTAAAAATATCTCGCGATCAGGAATAGGTCTCTCCGACTCTTCCTGACTGTTTCCACGTGTCTCGGCTTCTCCTGGCTCATTGTCTCCAGGCGGCACTTTTCTCGACCTTCCTGGCCCAATAGAGCCGTCCTATCGCAAGCATACTTCAGGGCAAACAGCATTCATTGCCACTTCGCCATGTGCGGCCACGTGCTTGCAACGAGGCTGCACGTGTTACCACGTGCAGCCTCGTCGACGCAAACTTCTGATCCTCCATCCCCCGCGAAACCCAAAACGCAGCGTTCGTACAAATAAAGATGTAATCACCGGTTTTATCAAACGTGGAAATTTGGAATTCGTGGAAATAAACACTGCCATGCACCATCTCATCGCGTGGTGCTCCAGCAAATGGCGCTAAATTGTAAGGAGAAGTCTCTGCGCACCGGGATCTGCTACTGCTGAAGGATTATGACGGTACTTGGGCTTTGTTTTCTTGACTCCAGTGGTGACGGTGGGCGAGCAAGAAAGGTTGATTACAGCCATCTCACGGAGCGATACAAAGGGTACCTGCTGGACTAAACCACACTCAAGCTGGCCTGCTGGACTAAACCACACTCAAGCTGGCCTGCTGAACTAAAACACACACAAGCTGAAGTTGTCAAGACTGTCGATTCTGCGACGCTAAGACGCCGGCCTCAGTAGACCAGGCCAAGCCAGCTGCGCCGCTGGCTGACACTGGCCAGCGAGCACTCGGCCTCAATGGACCAGGCCAAGTCAGCTCCCCCGGCCAAGCGCCCCTTCGGCGCCGACAGCGGCACTCGGCGGCCGGCGGCGGTGACTCACGCTGCCGGCGACGGGGCGGCTCCGGAGGGGAGGCCGCCGGCCGAGGCTGCGAGCGAGGGAGCTGCCGCGCGGCGGCCGCTGCGCAGTGGCGGCGTCTTTCGCCTCAATGTGCCACACGCCACGGCGACAGCAGGTCGGAAGCGGCGTCACAGACCGGTCGGCCGGCCTGATTCGTGTCGAGACGGCAGGCTGGTGGCTGGCGTGACCCGCCTGACCCCGCCGCGGCGCAGCGACGCCGCTGCCGCCCCATCTGCCTGCTGCGACCCGGGCCATTCGCCAGGCGATTGCCTGGGGTGATCGGGTCCCAGCAGGCGGCGAGGTGTGGAGCGATAGCTCGTGACGATCAGCCGTTACACCGTTGGTTAGCAGGAGAACTAGTGAAGCCCCCAGCAGCTGCCGTGCTACCTGTACGCTTAGATGCAGCAGGTGGGTGTCTCCGGGACAGACTGTAAGAAATGCGAGCTAATGCGTTCTTTTTGTGGTTAGGCAGGCTGTGGGTAAGCTTTCAAACTTTTCGAGCAACTTTAAAGCCGGCTGAAAGCCTCCTAACTTTTGTTTAATTTATTATTTGTCAGGATCAAAGAAACCAGTGTCGACGTAAAGTTAACTTATTTATTAGGCAGACGTGGCTGTGTCGGATGTGGCTATGTCACATCTCACACAGTCACATCTGCTTGACTCACAGACTATGTCAGACGTGTGACAGATGACAGATGCGGACGTTACGGAGAAATTATCGCATTGATAAAGAAGAAAGAGAGAGAGAGAGAGAGAGAGAGAGAGAGAGAGAGAGAGAGAGAGAGAGAGAGAGAGAGAGAGAGAGAGAGAGAGAGAGAGAGATATATATATATATATAACATGCGTAACACACATAATCATCACTGCGATAGTTCCGCTATATAAAGAACAAGCAGGATGTGTGAGTGAGATCCAGCAAAAGGGCCGCGTTGTATATAAGGCATGACTATGCATGTGCGACAAATACGTGCACATGCACATACACACGATAACTACTGCGCATGGACAACTTACTATTCTGGCGTGGGAGAGTTCGCACTAATTGCAGTCCAAATGCACATGGACCTGAAAATCTCGAGCAAGGTGAGACGCGCCACATGAATGTTTCCATGGCCAGCCAGTGGGCGGCGGATCTGCCGGTCAGTCAGCTCGGCTGACTCCTGGGCGCTTCATGGTCTGTCCATGGTGCGATCAGCTGCCTTGACGTCAGCAGTTCCTGCCACGATCCGGTGAGGACTATAGCGAAATATCGGCCGCCGGGAAGGACCGCAGTGGCCCCAGCGAGCCGCTGGTGATTTCTGCTGCATTTCGTCTCTTAGATGGTGCGCCGGTGCCATTTCGGTCGCTAACAGTTGCGTGGGCTGGTCCGTCGAAGCCACGGCGGGGCGAGTCATTTATATTGACTATCCGGCGACTGCAAGGGGAATGAGCCGGCTCCCGGTCCGCGCTGGCGGGCAGAGCGGGCACTCGGAGTGCACTCGGGCGGCGAACTGACAGCGTCTTTGCTGCCACTCCTGCGGTCGGCGCCTCCCACACTGCAGCTGCAGTGAGTGACGAGTCAAGGATGGCCTCTGCCGTCGCCGCAGTGGCCGCCAGGCGATGATGGCCACGACGCGCCGGTTCTCGTGTGGGCGGCGAGGCGGCGAGTGCCCCGCCCCCTCCCGCGCCGGCGGGGGCCGGCGCCCGGCGAGGCCGACAGTTGACCCGGCCGCCGCCAGATGTCGGGCCGGCAGCCGAGTGGCGCCGCCACGGCCCCGGTCACCGGTCAATACCGGCGAGCGTGCGCAGGCCGGCGCGCGGCCGACGGGCCGGGGCCGGCGAACCGCCGCCGGCGCCGACTGGTGCCGACGTCGCGGCCGCGCCCGACACGCTCCGCGTCTCGCGCCGAAACATGCCCAGGTACAGGTACGTGCCCCTCCACTCTGACCCCAGGCTCCGGAACGGGCTGCATGGTTACGTGCCACCACCGGGGTCTGGTGTCAGCTGGAGCACTTGCGGTGCCTGCGCGGATTTACCAGACTTCGAAGTGTTGGCGGACTGAAATACTTGGAACGAATGCTAGCTAGGACCGACATTCAAAGCACGGAGGTTTTTGATCGTCTTCGGACGCGATCGTCGTTCAGAAAGTTGCCGTATTTGGTGATGATAATGTGAGTATGCATATCTTGTTAAAGTTTCAAGAAAATCGTCCCAAAGTATTGTGGAATGTAGGATATTGGTTTCTCTTGGACTTTAAAAGGTTTTGTTTTTTAACCAAATAACATTGTCGATGGTTGGGAGCCCGATTTAAACACATATCTATCCTGCCTGCAAAGGGCTTTTTATGCTTACGTATTACTTGTCCAGGCTTTGAGATGATATCACCCTTCTGTACTGTGCAAAATGTATATGTGCTGATATCAACTTCGTCGGTTCCAACTTGCTCTGCTGCGGTATCGTTTCCCGTTTATCGACTCCTAGAAAGCGGCTGTAGACGGCATATCGCGGCTGGTGTGCTCCGGGCGAACCACCCGCTCTGCGGCCATTGGCGGGCATGTTTCGGCGTTATGAGGGGCTCCATTTCCGCCCCGATCCGGCGATCGGCCGCCGGGGTGGGGCGGCAGGCTTCCTCCAATGGAGGACGGCGCCGGGGTCGTGGCCGCCCAGATCCGCCCCGTCCGGCAGAGCCGGCCGAGTCCTAACCACCGCTGGCTATGAATTGGTTAGCGACGCGCCGATCGATGAATTCTGGGCTCGCGCCTGTTTGGAGCAGAGCCTTGGGATCGGTTATGGAGTCGGCGGGAACTTGCGGCGCAGTCTACCACCAGCGACAGGACAGTCTGGCGTTCAGCGGAACAGTCTACCTCCCAGTTGACTTCTGCTCTGCCATCTGTTATTCGGCTGAGCAAGCACGAGCGCCGCTTTGGTGCTGCATGGGCCGATGAATGATGTGCGAAAACTGCGCCGACGCAGTCTTTCGTAGTTATGCAATCTCAGTGATACTGAATTTAGGTTTACATTCGTAACGTCCGCGTTATCTGTCCTGCATGGCTCCACCCCGCCTTCCACGACCGCTCCCGTTCCCGATTGTGTCAACGATGTTCGCATGACATCGGTAACACGGCCGGCACTTGGTGCACACACCACATCAGAGCTCGTGGCCGTATTTTGGGCTAAACGTTATTGCTAGTGACACTGATCCTGGCTTCACGGCAATGATCTCGACCACAGCGCAGCCAGGGGTCCATGTTACGACGACCCCGGTTGTGCGCCACGGCCTCCTCGCGTGCAAATGACTTACTTCCAGTGAGCGAATCGAGCGGAACGTGACCTGCTGACACTTCTGTGTCAAAGAACGCAGGCCGCACCAAAGCAGTATGTAACGCTCCTGTTTTCAAGAAAATGGGCGAGACACAGTTGTTTTGGAACGGAAGGCTGCCAGTCTGCACTCATTCGTAGAATTAGCCACCAGTTGCAGTTATGCTTTGCTGAGGATAACGAGTAAAGCATTGTATAATTCTGAATATGGTTTATCGGCAGGTACTATGAAGCCCTCACTGCAAAATGCGCGGGGGAAGCCCTCCCCATCCACTTACAAATGGATGGTTGGCCCTCACTGTGCAAACGAGAGGCAGATTAAACCCTATCACAAACAGCGTTCTCCGACGACGGTCAAACAATGGCGGAAAGCGCACTAGAAATCTGGCGATCAGATAAAGACGCATCCTAGCGTGCGTTACAATTCATCTGTGAATTACAGTTCCGAAGGTTGGGCCGAGGTGAGAGACCAGAGTCTTGTTAGATCAGATAAATATTACATTCGGGATCGCAATGAACAGTCCGGGAAAACAGCTCGACATTATACTAAGAAGGCTTAACAGTGCCGTCGACAATACTTGTGGTGTCCAGTATCTATACTCTCTCATGTCCGGCAGGTACTATGTTCATATCCTTAGCCGTTTTGTACAGTTTTATGAACCTGCTAAACCCAAAGGTGAAAGGGTAAAGGGGTGAAAACCGAGGATGTAAAACATAAAACGTTACGCAAATGAGAATGAGATACCGGTATTTGACGTCACATTTCATTGCTTCCAACTTGAATATTGTAATATAACCCATTGTTCAAATATTCGTTGCAAGCAAATATTTTAGAAAGGTGTTCATGGGCGAATGGAATTAGGATCAACAATTTTAGCTCGTGCGTAATCGTGATTTTTCACAATATTATTTGGTTCACGGTATCACAGTCGAATCACAGTATTATTGGGGGGGTATTTATAGCATATATAGTACTATAAATTTATATTATATATATATATATATATATATATATATATATATATATATATATATATACTATATAATCGTAAAGGGCCAGGACATTACAATCTTTCGGTGCACATGCATGATTCTGAAATCCCAGGATCGAGGGGAGTTGCTGCATCGCTCTAGGAAGGAAAAGATCCATTTCATCAACGCGCGTGTCATACAGATATGAAAGATCTCCGATAGGCAAAGAGCCTGGGCTAGAGAGAATCTTACCTCTAACGGTCTGACCTTCCCAATTGTTGCTGTAATCATCATTGCTTCACATAGCTGTAGAGTACAGCAATGTTACAGAATACCAAGGCACTGGAGTAAGTTTGATCGTACAGGTAACATTCTCCTTAATCCAGACCCTTCGGACATCCGAGATCATGCATGTCTCTGTGACACTCGTATTGACATCAGCAATTTTGTTCTGTATTAGAACAATGCAGCAATTCTTTCGACCTTAGAATCTTAGAATAACTTGGCGTTCACCAAATGGAGCCGCCATCGAATATCATGGGTTTTGCATATCCCCGATATATTGTAAGGTGGTGGGTTTCATGTGGATTCTAGAAGGTCTTCCGCAAGATTTTGTAGTTTTTTAAGCTGATTTGTTTACCTACAGGAAATCCTGCGCTCGTGTTAAACTGTGCAAACCATAACCACTAACTTACTTGTTGTACCCATTGCCCTGTCCATTAGGTTTTTACCTCTATTAGCTATGCGAGGATCTTACATGTTGTGATTATATATATATTATATATATATATATATATATATATATATATATTATATATATATAACTACGTATAACTGGGCTTGAAAGTGTCCAGCCTCCCTCTGTTAGGCGTCTTTGCGACAGGCCGTTCAAAAACCCGCTGTCGCCGAACTGATTCAAGATCACACGTGCCATTTTGGGATTTCACACTATGTTCTTGATTAATCGTAACTGGCCAGTCACAATAAAACAAGGTTGAATGGTTGAATTTCTTTGCAACGGATGGATGGCGAGGCTGACAACAAACTGCAGGATAGATACTAAGAGTGTTGCAACAGTTGCGTAGAATTTGGGACACATAAAGCTTATCAATATTTGTGTTGTTTGGATTGCAAAGAGCATGGCGTTGCTATTTGATTCCGTTTCGTATCAACCTGGCAAAAGGTAAGCCGGGAAAAGAGTTGAAATCAAAGGACAAAGATTTAAACCATTGTTTAGATAAGATAGTAGTAATATCCTTATTTCGTGGAGAAAAACCAGAAAAATAGAGGTTTTGATGGGTTGATATTTCAGCAATAGGCCTTTATCGAAACAATAGCAGAAATTGATTCTGCAGTATGATACCTCTAGACACATCTACAGAGAGATGTGTCTAGTGTGGTCCTTGGCATTATTGTCTACGGAATTCGCTTCTGCTATTGTTTCGATAAAGGCATGTTGCCGAAATATTAACCCATCTATACCTTCATTCTCCTGGTTTTTCCTGGGAATAGGACTATTACTACGGTCTTATCTGTGTGAATAATGCCCCTCGTAAATGCACCGAGCAGCAATTTTTTGTGCAGACGATTCTTTACCCGCGCGCACGTGATCAGCGCTACTCATCGGGCGTCTGGTGCTACGTGTTCAGATTCCGAATGTTCTCAAACCAAGAATGCTGCAGTCGCATATTGTCATTGCAAGTTCTCTGGCTGTATATGAGAAGTGCACTGCGTAGGGATTCTACGAGCGATTTCCAAGCGTTCCAGATACCTTAAAACTGCTCGATCAGTACATCAATGATTGACGAAGCTGCAAAGTCGTTTGGATGAAAGTTGCTCAGACTATATTGACAGGATTCATGAATCTCTGTCGCCACTTGGGGCGAAAGTGCAGTTCAGCTTGGCGGCCAGGGTGCCATTTTGATTCATCTATAGGCTATGCATAATTCACATGCTAAATTCGTGGCGTACAAAGTGAACTCAGCGGAAATTCGATGGTAAGTTCTGAAACTCTAGTATGGGCCTTGGAATTAGTGTCTAATTTCATGAAATTGTGATAAAGCCCTCCTCTTTTCAATCCTCTTCCGCTCTTTTTCCGTCATGCCGTCAATATTGCGATCGTTGAAACCCTCCTCTCTCCAAGCCTCTACCACTCACTTCCCGTCATACCGTTCAGACCGCAATCGTTGCGAATGCCGTGCTGGCAGTGTAGCGCCCCCATCCGTCCTGGCAGGTCTCATCAGTGGGCTGGGCCAGCCCGACCGGTGACGTCACGCTGACGTCACCGGTCGGGCGGCTGCGGCTTCCATCTTGGCCGACGGTGGCGAGCATCGGCGGCCGCCGGCCGGCCGCCGGCGATCGATGGTCCGACGGCGACCTGCCGGGACGAGGCCGCACAGTCGGCTCCCGTCCCCGCACCGGCTCCGGCTCCCAGTGTCGGACCCTGCCCCGACGTCGCTCCCGTCCCCTGGGAGTTGGCGCCCCTGCGCGGAACCGACGCCGTCGTCGGTGCTGGTTTTTGCCTCCTGTGTTTTTTGTACTGGTTACCGCCTCCTCTGCCGGTTTGCTACCCTTGTATTGACTTCATTCATTTGCATCGGCTTCTGCACTCTTGCCGCCGTGTCCTGCGTTGGCTACCGTCCCCTGTGCGTCTGCCGTTTCTCGCAACGGTTTCTGTTTTCTGTACTCGATCCCATTCCTCACGTTAACTTCTTTACTCTGACTATCACCTCTGACGCTCGCTCCCGTCCCTTTTATGTACCCCAGCAAGCAGAGCTCCTTGCACTGATTCAGGTAACATGCATCGATTAAAGTCCGTGTGCTGCCTGACGCCTCAGACGTCGGCTTCTGTCTCCTAATGTTGATTACCGTCATCATGAGGCTGCCGATCCATCTGTTGGCCTCCATCCTCATCCCTGCCATCGCCTCTCGCACTTACCGGCTTCCGTCTGGCGTTCCGTTTGCTGTATCTTGCAATGGATAACCCCGCCCAGCCTATATATCCCACCAGCCTTCCTGGTATTCTATTCGTACCAGGACCCCACAGAAAAACTGGGAACAAAGTGCGCGTGCAAAACTACCATCTACCACGCGAGAAGTACTTTGGAAATCGCATGTTGCCAGACAATATACTTGCGTACCTGAATTAAACTCTGGTGTTCTTGGATGTAGTGAATGGTTACTGACATGAGACCGGCAGTCTCAGCCGCATGCGATCAAAGTTTGGGGCACCCGAACGACGTCTGGTGCACGCGCGGCCCCCCCTCCAGACGTCTGACGCACTCGCGGCCTCTCCTCTAGACGTTTGGTGCACGCCCCCCCCCCCCCTGGACGTCTGACGAACGCGTGGCCCCTCCTCTAGAAGTCTGATGCACGCGCGGCCCCTCCTCCGGACGTTTGATTCATGCGCGAACCCCTCCTCCAGCACCACATATATGCATGGTTTGGTCGGCACGAGCTAGCGCACGCCGGCAGCCCCAGGGGGCGTTGGCGGACGGCACGCCGGCCGGCTCAGCTGGCCGTGGTGCCCAGGGGAGGGGTCAGTGTGGCCAGCCGACGGCGTCAGCGGCTGAGTCACCGCGTGACGTCGGCCGCCCCCGCCTCCGCCTCCGTCGGCAGGCGCCTGGTGCCGCCGGCCTGCGGCGCCAGTACGGGCCGCACTCGCCGACAGGCGCCACTGGAGGCGTGTCCAACATTGTCGTCTGCTCTTACATGGAGGGACGCAAACTCGAACGTCTTTTCATCATTCATGGATTATAAGACACAAGAACGACATTAAAACCCTTCAGCGTTCTCATATAAAACTCACCGACTGTTCAAACACTTCACCAGTTCAGTGCGGCAAAAAGTAGGATCAACAAAGCATAAGGCTTCGTATGTAGCCACATTGTTAAATTCATTTTCCTCAGGGCAAAGGCGCTGGAACTGCTTTAATACCAGGAACAGCACTAAATTAGTAAAAATGGGCTAGAATAGCATTAACTTTAAGAGCAGTCGTCATTGGCATAGTTTCCCATACTGTTTTCACCTTTGTTTCAGATCTTCCAAGTTAGGACATGTACAAGCTAACCAAAGGCATCAAGAAGAAAGTTAAGGGCAAGAAAAAACCCACCGAGGAGGAGCTCGAGCAGGAAGAGCTACGCCAATATCGTCTTGAAAAGCAGCGAGAGCGGGAGCAAAAGGAACAGGAGCAGAGAGAGCAGGCGCAGACCGAAGAGAGTGGCGAGGACCAGGAGGAAACAGAGGCGGCAGACCCAAACGCTGAGTCCAGCCAGCGGCAGGAGAAGTCGGCGCCCGAGTCGGACGAGTGGGCTAAATTTCGTGCTCTCACCTCTGGTGTTGACTCGGTCCTAAGCACCACCAAAGAGAGTCTTCAGACCATCAAGGAGACCAGCTATTTTATCAGGAAGAAGGCCGCAAAGGATCCCGAAGAAGGCAAGAGAGACGAGAAGCCGGCTGTTGCCGTCGCTAGCAAGCCAAAATGGGTAGACGTTGACGCGGGGGAAGAGGAAGAGGAAGCTGAAGAACCAGCCGCAGAGCCTGTAACAGCGCCGGTTGAAGAGCCCCCAAGATCACCGACACCTGAAAAGGTCGACTTAGAATTGGTGTTATCCGAGGTTGAGAAGCTCGAGCGTGCCCAGTATTTCGAGGAGGACGTGTTCAACACCGAGTACGTGGACGCGGTCACCAGCGGTGATATCAACTTCGCTGTTATACCGGATAGCCCGACCGAGGAGGGAGACGATCCGTTTGACACTTCGGTAGTCGATCAGGTGCTCCGCGAGACGCCAGAGCAGCAGAAAAGGAATAAACTAAAGGCGATCAAGCTAGGCAAGGCCGTTCAACTCTTGAGTGGAGCTCAGGAGGACGCTGAGAAGCCCGAGGAGGCGGAAGGCCCCGCTGAGGCTGTGCCGAAAAAATCGAGGCGCAGGGAAAGGGGCGTCTATAAACGACCAGGCTCTTTAGACTTATTAGATTCCTCTGAGGCATTCCGCTCCCCCAGAAAATCAAAATAACCTTGCCGAAGGAGTTTGTCAAGAACCCAAAGAAACACCAGCGAAAACACTTCTCGATGAGGACATCTGTGATGGCGGTGAGTTTGAGCTAAATTTAGCAGTAACTCCCGAATTCAGGAGCGCCCAAGTATCTTCCCCAGGTGACGAGGTTTCTGCCCAAGGGTCTCCCAACAAGCCGATAAGCTCGATTGTCAGCGAGTTCGAGACTGTTTCGGAGGTTCCCAGTGCAGGCAGCAACGAAGCGATCCTTACTGCTCAACCACCCGACGAGGACGACTGTGCGTTTGACTCCCTTGCGAATGAGTCGTTGCTCCGAGCTAAAGATCGCGAGGAGTTAATAGGCGACGACGATCCATTTGACACATCAGCAGCGAAGCAAATCCTTGGCGAAGACAAGGTGACAGAGGTCGCCGCAGACTTTGACGAGGACGACGTCAAGTTTGAAGCCGACTTTGGAGAGTGCAAACCAAAACCATCGCGCCCTCCGCCTCCTGTTATCATCACATCGCCCAAAAAGGAGCAACCAGATTTATTAACGTCAAACGAACATCACGACTACGAGCCCCTTCCCGAACCCATTAACTTCTGTGGGAAAGCAGAGAGCAAGCCAGAAGCTCTTGACGAAGAAGAAGAGGAGGTTGACCCATTCGACACCTCTGCTGCCGGTAAGCTGTGTGGTACTGAAATCAAGCTCCTTGAAGACGAACTTCTCAGCTCTTCCGAGGTCCTGCCACCTGCCCAAGTTCCAGCTCCTTTTGAAGCCGACGACTTCGACCCACGTGCAGGTGAAGAGAAGCCGGAGCCTGATCCTTTCGACACCTCGTTCGCCGGTGGGTTTGTCGCTCAACCTATCGTAGACGCGGAGCAGCTGCTGGCCTCAACACCGACACAGGATTCTACTCCTGTCTGCATACCTCCTCAGCAGTCACAAGACGCTGCCAACGAACCGGAGGTTGATCCGTTCGACACGTCGATCGCGGACACGTTCGGCAACGTCGAGTTGAAGGTTCTCGAAAGTGAACTGTTGAGCAACGCGTCACCTGCCGTTCCAGTGAACCTCGAGGGGCGACTTGATCTCTCGGCTACCAGTGCGCCGCCTCGGCCTCCACCTCCAGCGCTTCAGGTGAAGGCCAGCTTCGCGGTTTCCTTCGACGAGGAGCGGGAGCAAACAGCCGGCGCTACCGGAGCTCCTGACGCTCACACCCGTGGAAGAAGACGTCGCTCCGGTGGCCCTTGTGCCACAGCGGACGGACGACGAGTGCCCAGAGGAGGAACAGGATCCGTTTGACACCTCTATAGCTGATAAATTTGGTGCTGTTGAGGTGAACGTTTTGGAAAAGGAGCTTCTGGGAGCAACAGCCGCGCCAGTGGCAAAACAGCTGACAGACCTATTGCCCACTCTTGCAAACAAGCCGACTGCCGCCACCACCGACACGAGCGCCTCTGTTGTTTCGGCTGCAAACGAAACGATAGAAGAGATCGATCAGGAGCAGGACGTGTTTGACACGTCGCACGTCGAAGCGCTCGGCATCGCTAGCTCCTGCGAGACAGACGGAGGTCGTGTCACAAAACCGCGCTCGCTGCAAGTCTCGGAGAGCTCTGCTGCACTGTTGGCAACAACTCCGGAGGACCCGAACCCCCTGTTGCAGCCGAGCGCCCCGGGCCCTCACAGTCAGCTGCCGGCCGACGAGGATTTCGACCCGTTCGACACGTCCGCCGCCGACCAGTTCGGCCACACGGAGTTGCGCGTGCTCGAGAGCGAGCTAATCGGCGAGGTTTCGTGCACAAAGCAGCCGCCGCGGCCACCGCCACCCGTCCTCCGCGCGCCGTTCGCCGAGCCCGCGCCGCCGCGGCCGTCCGCCGACCAGCTGCTGGCTGTGTCACCGTCTGCCGAGCGGCTGCCGACCCTGCAGCCGTCAGCCGACGCGCCGCCGCCGCCTGTGCAGCTGTCGCCCGTAACGCTCGACCCGTTCGACACGTCGATCGCTGAGCGATACGGCACAACCGAGCTGCGCGTGCTCGAGCGCGAGTTCGCCGCCGCCGACGCGAGCCCAACGTCGGTGCTGAAGCGCTCCGTCAGTGATCCCGACTTTGACCCGCGCGGCGACGAGAAGGTTGCGCGCCCCGAGACGCCGCAGCTGGGGGTGAATCTGCTGGACTCGCAGCTGGGTGGCGGCCACCTGGTGCCGGTCCTGGCCGCCAGCGCCGTGTCGGAGACGGCGGACGAGGCCGAGCTTGCCGACCCGTTCGACACGAGCATCGCCGACAGCCTGCTGCCGGGCCAGGCTGAGCTCCAGGTGCTCGAGCGTGAGCTGCTCCAGTCGTGAGAGCCACCCCATCCGCCCTCCCGCGCACCCGGCCCACGTCACCATGGCGTCCGGCAACCCGTTCCTGGAGATGGCCGGCTTCGGTGGCTTCGAGACGCAGCAGCAGGACCAGGTGGTCCTCAGCAACCCGTTTATGGACGACGCGCCGCCGGCGGCCGTTGACAGTAACCCGTTCGGAGCCTTCCTCGCGTCCGCCGACGTGCCGCGGGTGGACTCCTGCGGAAACCCTTTCGCTGACGCGGCGCCGGCGCCGCTGCCGACGGTGAACGTGGCGGCGGCGGCTGCCGAGGACCTGCTGGACGGCCGGGCGCCGCCGCCGCCGCGGCCCCCGGTGCCGGAGGCCACGCGCCATCTGCTGGCCTCCGTCACCGGCCACATGGAGGCGGCCAGCGACTCGCTGTTTGGCCAGCTGAACAACGTGCGCACGCCGCGCCAGAGCCCGACGCACATGTCTCGCTCGCCGTCGCCGCCGCTCTTCGACGACGCAGCGCCGCCGCAAGACACCGACGTGGCCTTCAGGTGGGTGGTCGGCCATGGCGCGTGATCGCGCCATGTAATTTTGGTTCTGCGTGCTCGACGGCTGAGTGGAGCCAATGGCTGTCAATCAAACGACTCATTCGGTGGTGTGTGTGATTGCAGATCGACATTTGCCGTGTTAGTCGCCAGCGCATTGTTCTTGATTTAACTTCAACGGACTCGAGCCTGACTTTGATTAGTACCGTGCGAGTTTGATTCAGAATTTGATTGCAGGCAGCACAGCGCAACTTAGTGCCAAATCTAATTTTGAGTTAGACATGACTCAAAGCTGCAAGTAAATCTCATAGGCTGATTTTGTCGACCAAACTTAGAGATAAGCCGTTCTCTGTGCTTCAAAAACCAAATGGGGCATCTATGCAACTATATATACATATATAGTATATATTTCATGTTTATGGCAGCATGAATGACGATAACGTAATACGTAGCGACTGGAACTACTATATATGTATATATGTGTGCATAGTGTGCATTTTGCACAAACGGTGTGTGCATTTCGCACACACCGTTTGTGCGAAAGCCAGTACTTTACTTTGTATATATTTCTATTGGATCCAACTGAACAATAACTTGGTTGATTGGCTAACTTTGACTCATAAGGCAATGTTAAGGAGTTGATCCCACCATGATTCAAGGCAAATCTAACTTGTCCTCGAGCCAATTTGGGCCCCAATTGGATACAGACACAGGTCTTGTCACGTGGTGCGCAAATTAAGCCTGCATCATTTTTTGTTGTTGTATTTCTTAGTTGCTAAATTCTTTCACCACTAATTTTTGTCTTCAGTTTTACGTAGAGTATTAGAAGCCACTGTATGCTTTGCATAGAAGCCATACATTATACTTTTACGCCGCCATCTCGGATCTGCTTTTAAGTTAGACGTCTTCGCTATTTCTCGTTTTGACGTGTCATGCCTGCCTGCCTGCTCTACGATAACGGACAGCCCGCGTTCGCCCCCAGCGCGGCGTTCGGCCAAACCGTGGAGGAGCTGAGTGATCACGAGGATGCGCGAGCTGCGAGTCCGGCTCAGCCGGCGGAGATCGATCTCTGGGATTCAGCTCCCGTGGCCAAGGCCAAGACCAATGACCAGATCCTGAGCCTGTTCAACGCGCCGTCCACACAGCAGCGCCAGGAGGTGGATCTGCTAAGCAGCTCGTTCCACGACGAAGCGCCGCCACCGCCACCAGAAAACCTTCTGGATGGACCGTTGCCGCCAACGCCGGTGGTCACCATTCTGGAAGGTTCTCCGATCAAGTCCAGCGTTCAGGCTCAGTCTGAGGATGCGCCACAGCCCGCGGCACCAGCTGCAACGGTCCCGGATGCCGAAGAAAAACAAGAGGAAGATGAGGGGGCTGCGCAGCTGGCGCCGCCACCGCCGCCAGCGGCCAAGCCGTCATCTCCCTCGGAGGAGGTGGCTCTGCGACCGCTGGAGCTGGAGCTGGACACGCCGGTGGTGACGCTGACCGAGTCGACAGTCGAGCCGCCGGAGGATCCGAGCAAGGCGCACACAGCGGCCGCCTTCATGGAGGAGTTCTGCTCGCCGGTAGTGCCGGCGTCCCACATCACGCCGCCGTCTCCGATGAGTCCAATCGGACCCTCGCCGCTACCGTCTGTGACCACCACACCCATCCTGGCGGAGGGCCCGCCTCCGGGCCAGTACCAGCCGTCTGTGCCGGCCGAAGAGGCCGCGCGGCCGCCTCCGCCGCCGCCGCCAGCACCGGAGCCGGTGCAGAAGCCAGCCCGCCCGCCGCCTCCGCCGCGGCCGCCTCTGCCCGGTCCCGCGATGCCGCCCGCCCCGCCAGTCTCCCCGTTCAGCGTCTTCGAGGCCGCGTCGGAGCCTCCCGCTGCCGACGTCTCGGCCTTCAGCCTCGGCCCGACGGTGACGCCCTCGGCGCCGCTGCCGTCGCCGCTGAGCCTCTTCGACACGCCTCCGGCGTCGGCGGGGCCGCCGCCGGCGGCGCTGGACCTGTTCTCAGCGCCGCCAGAGGCGCCGGCGGTGCCGCGACGCGCGCCGCCGCCGGCGCCACCGCGCCGCCAGCCGCCGCCCTCGCCCAATCCGTTCCTGGACACGGCGGAGGCTGAGGCCGGGGCAGCGCCGGAGGACGCGTTTGACGCGTTCGCGGCACGCTTCGAGAAGGCGGCGGACGAGACGGTCGCTGCTGACCCGTTCGATCCGTTCGCTGGTGCCGCCGGAGCAACGGAGTCGAAAGCGTCAGGTAATCTCAGACGAAACCATCCAATATTTATATTGCGCTGGGAACACATCATGATAAATATGATGAATAAATAAGCCCTCCCAGCACGCTGAAAAATGGCGTGCTTAGTGTACTCATCTATCGTTTACCGCACAGACTGCTTAAAAACGAACGAACGTTCGATTACGGTCTCGTTTAGGCAGTCCTGGATGCATCATCCCTCAACCTTCGTTAGCCTAGCCCTGCCAACACACGCATCTGACCACTGGACTGTTCCTTGCGGCCGTTTCAGCGTGGGGTTCTTCCGAGGGTGCAACGGCGGCGGCGTCAGGCCAGATGGGCTTTGAGGACTCGGCGTTTGACTCGTTCCTATCGATGACGGCGCCGCCGCCGGTGCCGCAGTCGACCCCGGCCCGCGCCGCCAGCAAACAACACTCAGAAGACGAGCAGACCGACCTCAACGTTGTCATACGGTCAGCAGGCGCACTGACGGGCCTGGTGCGGTCGTGGTCAGCGAGTCCCGTCTTGCCGCTGTCAAAAGTGTTGGGATTTGTCAGATGTCTGTTGTTTTAAAAAGGCCGGTGTCCATCCGATGTGGGTGCATCTCAGCGGCATAACCAGGATTTTGCCTAAGAGCGGACCAAATCAGGCCGTAAGGGTCCCTTTCAGTCAAGTGGGATCTTTGTCGATAGCCATGCGTTTGTATTTGAAGAACCTTTTTACGCTCGGGATCCTATGTTGATGCCCCGGTTCGGTATTCTTATGTTTAGAAACCCTACGTGCGTCTTAAACTGCCACATCAGAACTGGGGCCTTCTGCCCCAGGGCGGCCCCGCCACCTCCAGGGTGAAAGGGCGACCCCTAAACTCACCCTTGGCTACGTCACTGCGCACTGTGTGGTGACTTCGCTGTGGGAGCTGGCGAGCAGAACTGACGGACGTGGTCTGTCCCCCGGCAGGCCGCAGCAGGATTGGGTCTCCCAGTCGCAGGTGCCGACGCTGGCGCCGCCGCCGCGACCGGCTGTCGCCGCCTTCCAGGACAACGCCAGCATCAACCCATTCGCCAGCGCTGCCATGGACCTCAACCTGGAGCTGGCGCAAGCCAAAGGTCAGTGTAGGATCAATGCCCACCGCTGTCTGTTCACAGGATATTGCTCCTGACAGTGCGACCGCGAAATACTCGTGTGTGCTGAAGGGCGTGTTAATTAAACGCTCGGAGCGACCTGCCGCTTCATATATAGCGTGACAGGACAAACACAAATACAGAGGCTGGAAGTCGCGTGGCGAGCGGAGGTCAGCTGAGTCTAACGCGGCGCCGACGGTCGCAGTGGAGCGGCCGGGGCCCGGGCCGGAGCCCGAGCCGGAGGCGGGCAGCGGGCCAGCCACGCCGCTCTTCGACGACGACATCTCGCAGCCGCTGGAGCCGTTCCCGCGCACCGTCTGGGAAACGGCCGAGTTCGACATGTTCCTGCGTCAGCCTAACAAGAAGAAGATCACCGGGCAGCGGTGAGCGGCGCGCGCGGTCTCCCACGGCCGGCTGAGTCGGGCGCTGGAGCTAGAGGGGGGGGGGGGGGAGGGGGGTCGGGTGCGCTCACGCGTCATTTATCCATAACTCAACCGCTGGCCGCACTTATGAACGTGGGCGTTGATCGATGCCACTGCGAATATAAGCGTCGATGTCTTTTTATTCCTGGGCCACGAAAACGCGTCGTAAAGCTGTGAGTAATGCATGTGCGTGAGCAGAATCTACTCTTCCAAATGGAGGACGTGTGCGTTATGTAATTCCGCTGCTCGAGTCTGGGGCTCGAAATTTGAACCGTTCAGAACCTGGCTGAACAAACGAGCTTCGTTGCGGGCAAAATAGTATCAACAACGTAATGAATCGCAGCGTCTTAAAACAACCAAAGCGTCAACAACTTTTCCATATCAGGGGCATTTGGCACACTCCCTATGTCTTCAGCAATGTAACTGAAGTTCAAAAGAATTGCGACGCATGAAATTCACAAGAAACCAGCAGTGTAGTGGGTATTGTTGAGCCGTTGAACGCCCCTGACCACTTCAATGTATGCTGCAGCTTTTGGAAGAAGATATTTGTTCGGCTGGCCGACAACGCCGTGCTGCAGCTGTTCCACGACCGCAAGGACGCCGACCCCTTCCAGGAGCTGCCGCTGCAGGCGTGCTACTCGGTCTCAGATGTCGGTGAGTGGCCGCGGCTGGGTCAGCGACTTGGAGGGGAGTGGTAGATCCCAGAGCACTGATGTGGCAAGTACATAATGATTGAATTCTGGTTTTTAAGATGTCATGATCCTAGTCATGACGTCACGATGAATGTCATGACGCATTTGAAGAGAGAGCGCGTGGTCATCTGCCTGGATAACCCATGAAAGCGTCCGATGGCATTATCCAAAAGACGTACAAGAGGACCATACTCTCGGTCCCTCATTAGGTCTTCTGGGCACTGACATCGGAAATTGTATGATCATGCACAGTACACTCAAATCTTGCTGCTCGCGTTCGGTGTCAGCCATATTTCCAGCGTTTCACGGTCCTTTCGATTATAGCGTCTGCGTTGTATTTGATTCAAGCAATCATAGGTTTTTGTGTGGTCTTCATTCGAGCGGTATTTTGCAGGTGCTCAGCAGTATGATCAGTACGGTAAAATATTCACCGTAAAGCTGCAATATATCTTCTACAAGGAGCGACCCGGTGTTCGTCCAGGGCAAATGACGAAGGTAACCTACGGCACCGATAACAAGCAAGGGATGAAAGCCCTACGCTGGAGTAACCGTTGTGCCTTCGTAGGGTGAGGCGTTCTGGTCTCCACCGATTCTAACAATCATTCACTCGCGGCGCGGTTACGTACCATATTTAAATGATTCTTACAAACGCTTCTGTGCGCAAGAGCAGAAGCGGGCGACCGATCGCAAGCCTCAATGTAATCTGCAACCGTCACGCTCTGTACCATCCCGATGTAGGTCTCCACCTCTATCACCGGCTCTCACTCACGCCGATTGCCCCGGCTAGTGTCAGCTTCGGCTGGCCCGCTGGCATAACACCTGACATCCGACACCCGCCGCGACAGGCTGAGCGCATCACGAAGAAGATCGGCCAGTTCGCCATCTCCGCCTGGGAGGGCGACTACGACCGGGTCAAGGAGTTCGCCAGCGACGTGCGGAAGCTGGGCATGCCGGTGGAGCACGCGCCTCAGATCTCCCAGCTGCTCAAGCTGGGCACGCAGCAGTACGAGGATGTCAAGAGATTCGCCTCCTACGTCGAGGAAACCTTGTTTCATGTAGGTCATTGGAGGAGGCAGTGCGCACCTGTCGCATCGATGTTTTACATGGTGCCAACCAAACGCACGATGGAAGATATTTCATCACTCGAAATCCATGGCGAAAATTACAACCGACAATGAGCAATCTCTTTCCAGCTATACACTGCACCCGGTATCGATTCCAACTTTCGTCGAACTTAATCGGCTGTGAGCGCATCGGCGGCGGCACCAGCTGTCGCTGCCGGCCGGCCGGACCGGCACGGGGCATGACTTCTGCTGATCGCATCGGCGGCGGCACCAGCTGTCGCTGCCGGCCGGCCGGACCGCACTGGAGCATGGCTTCTGCTGATCGGCGCCCCTCGGCCCGCAGGTGACGTGCACCGTGACCGGGCTCTCAGCTACATACTGAGGAGGTGCAGATCACGGGCGTGGACGAGGTGGTACCTGGAGCAGGACGTCACCGGCGCCGTTTACCCGACGCTGGCTCGGGGTGCGCCTCTTCTTCCTCGCCTTCCTCTCCGTGAGGCTGGGGCCGGCTCTGGCGGCCTCGCTCGCGACAGGCACGGCGCCGGTGACGTTTCGCTTGGTCCGCAGGGGATCCGGGGATGGTTCGGGTGTGTGCGGCTTGGTGCTCTTGGCGCAGTGGGCACAGCTGGAGGGCCTCAGTGTGTGCGGCACGCTATTTCTGGCTGGGCTGAGGGTTCGGTGGGTGCTGTTCGGTGCTCTTTGTCAATGGGATGTTTTCCTGTTTGCGCCTCGTTTCTATGGCTTAGTTCGTACGCCTCGGCACTTTCTGTTTGGTGGAGCTGTTCCGTATGTGCTGCTTGCTGCTCTTGGATCAGTATGATGACTCAGTGCACGGCTCGGGTGCTCTTTGGCGATTGGAGCGGTTCGATGCTGGTGGCTCGGTAGTCAAAGCTCAATACCAGTGTAGTGGCAGGCCTAAGTGATTACATTCGTGATGTTTACCAGATGCCGACGAAGCACACTGAGTGCTTAACATTACCTTGTGCAGGTATGCCTGATGTAGAGCTGGGAATCAACGACCTTCGGCGTCAGGGGAAAGAGGTGGTGGGACGCCATGACATCATTCCGGTGGCCACCGAGGAGTGGATCCGCCTCGAGGACGTCGAGTTCCACAACGCCATCGACCTGCAGGCTTTCAAGGAGTCGCAGATCCTGAAGGTGGGCCGTGTGACGTCATCGGTTGCAATATATTTGCAATGCTCGTCATATTGCGATTCCGGCATTTAAACGGTCGTCGGAATGCTAAATTTTACGAAAGATTGCTGTGCGCGTGCATTGTTATCTGACACCTAGCCGCTGATTTGTTCCAGTTTAAACCCCCTGACGGGTGCTACATTGAGCTGATGAGGTTTCGGGTTCGGCCGCCCAAGAGTCGAGAGCTGCCGCTGCAGGCCAAGATCAAGTACACCATCCTCCAGAACAAGGTGGGCGGGCGGGGCTGAGACGCCCAGCCCGGTGGCCGGGACACGTGGGGCGACATCGCACGTCACAGACCTTCCCCATCTGTGGGTGGTGGGCTGCCCATGCAAGACATTAATATAACAAGAGTCGATGTGGTTTTCCATTTCAGTGCAAAGCCACCGCAAATAGCATTGCATTTGCATTTGGTGATAGTTACATGTAAACACGGGGGTGTCGAAACTTAAAAACAGCATGGGTTCTCAGAAAATTAATGATTATTTTGGTCAGGTGATTAGCAACGTCATTTTA